AAAAAAGTTGAATACCACTGCCTTAGACTATTGTGTAGACCCATTTTCTTCACCTATACTCTTACGTTTTATTCTAAATTTTACGTGTATATTTAAAGGATTTAGTTTTGCAGCTCTGGGATTCTAATGCCGTTAATACAATAATAATTAAATCTGTTTTATGAATTGTCAGTTGTGTTGATTACTGAACATTGTCGTAGTACTGAAAAATATGTTCTTGATTTTATGTTGGAAAATGGAAATTGTAACGTTTCTCTTTCTGTATGAACATCCGACATTTTGGGTTATTACTTTTGTGTCGTCATTGTTTCTACTGAGCTATTTGGCAGTTTCATACTTGAGTTGCTTCCATCCTGTTGGAATTAAGTAAGCTTATATCCTGTAGTGTGAAGAGCCTTTCTATGGCTTCAGCAGTTGAACCACACCTGTTTACAGTTGATGTCATCCTTTACGTTCCTTCTCTGTCTCTCTGTTTGTTCTGACTCAGTCACTCAGACAAGCAAATCTGTAGTCTTTCTAAAGTCCATTTTGTAGCACTGTGTGTTAGCTTCAGGTGCGCAGTTGAGAGTGTGTGACCACTGCTAATAGAGACTTTGCCTAATTCGTGATTTTCAGCATAACACAGGCTGTATGGTTATCGTTTTCAGGTGAAGATAACCTTTATAGTGTTTTAGTAATTTGTATCATCGCTGAGATGAACTTGACAGAATCATCCAATATTTGTAAGTATATCGAAGTGACGTTTCGATAGTGTTTGCCAAATTTTGAAAACTCTGTGCTGTTTTTCTTAACATTTAAAACCAACTTGCATTTAAACATATTTTATGAATGAATAGAGTTGTTTACAGGTATGAATTCATTTGAAATATGGAAACTTTAATTTATTTTTAAAAGTTGAAAATATGTTAAAATCATTGTAATAAGGTAGAATGCTGGATTTTTTGTGTTCTCTGCACAAAGTGTCTAAAATAGAAGCTTACCAGAAAGTTAATTTTATATCCGTCGGTCTCCATGTTTAATCCCTGAAACTTCTAGCTGTATTTTGATGAAATTTGGTATTTCATGTTGGAGAGACAGTTTTGGTTTGCATCGGCCCAACGTAATTTTTTTTTCTTAAATTCCATTGTGCGTACAGTTTTATATAACAAAAACTGTGGACTCATTAAAGTTTACACCTTTATTTTGTATATATTTTGAGGCAGCTTTTGTGTTTAATGAAATATAAAGAAAATATATTAATTGATAATTCTGGATGTTTTGGTTACACATATTTTTGGGATCCCTGTCAGGATTCAACCTAATCATCCAGTCAGTAGCTACTTTATTGACTAAACTGTCATAGGTATTATAGATAATCCATATCTTGAAATTGAGATACCATAATGGATATGTAAGATTTGAGGTTTAATGGATAGTTTTGTTACGTCTTTGACAGGTACATTAATGTGTCTCAGTCGGACTTAGCGTGTTATGTGTAATCTCTGAACGTGTGTTGAATTGAGTAAGACTGTGTCAGATGACGCCCGCTTTTTTGTTTCTTATAAAGAAATGTACTGAGGTAATGCCGCGTTTTAAAATTGTTTTCTGCTTGTGTGTTTATGAATGTACATTTGCGCAGGTCTGTTAATATTCTCTGCTTATAATTCTTTCAAGGCGTGGACAGTATGAAAGGCATGAATTCAATTTTCTTCATTTTGGGTATGAGCAGAATGAAGAAATTAAGAAATTTATTATATTGAGCGTGGACAGTATGAAAGGCATGAATTCATTTTTCTTAATTTTGGGTACGAGCAGAATGAAGAAATTTATTATATTGAATTGTGTTGATCTTATATTAAAAATAACAAAATATCTTCTGTACAGTGTAGAAATTTGGTTTTTCTTGAAACAACATTTAATGATATTAACTCCATGGTGTAGGGTATTTGTTGAAAAGTTGATTGTAGTTTATCTGGTCATGAAATTACGTTGCATCTGTGCAATGCGAAGGCTCGTATTTAAAAGACTGTGGCATTGGACCCTGTCTTGGAGTCTGTTGAATGAAGTCCACATCTCATACCCTGTTTATTTTGAGATTTATTTTGGTATTTTTTCCATCTTTGAGCCTGTCTTCTAACTGTTAGTCATTGTAACCTGAGAAGCGTAATTTGGTGTAGAAGACATTTTTATTTGAAGTCACTTTTTCTGCTGTGTTGAGTGCATAAACTGTTACCATTAAGTTTGTGGATTTAAAGATGTTAATTTCTTTTCTCTTATACATGGAAATCGATGTGATATTGGGTTATAAATATGTTTTTGTAGATTTAGGGTACACCTTTCATGGTGAAAAGTCCTGGATCGTAGCTGTACAGAATTAACTAAGGTCTTACCAGATTTTTATTCTAAATAATAAGTATCAGAAATAAAGTTCTCTTGGTTTAGGTCGTGGCAAAGTGGTCAGCAGGCTCTGTATTTGATGTGGCTGGCTGGAGTTTGTCGCATTTGCAACCAAGACGTGCCGATACTTGTTTGTCATTCATGAAGGTCATTCTTAATTTGACTTGTGCTGTTTGTATAGTTTATTTAAGTTAGGATTCTTATAGTGGCTGTCTGATGTGCATTTGTTTAAGTTTACAGTTAAGTAACTTGCTGTGTATTGGTGGTAATGAAATGGTAAATTTCTTCAACATGTGACATTTAACTTGGGTATTCAAATTTTTGTTTATATTGTCAAACAAGAAAGTCACAGATTGTGACGGACTGATACAGTGAAATATGGTTTACGTGGTGTTAATGTGTGGGGTGTAACATGTTCATTTATACAGACTGAATTTTTAAACGGTAGGAAATATGTTCTTAGTCATTAATACATAATTTTGCACTGGTAAATATTGTAGTTAATCTAATGGTGTTGTCGAAAAGTTGATAACTAGTCCAAACATTCTTTGCCTTTCATAGACCTGGCAGTTTACATCTGTCATGACAAAACTTGCCATTGCACCGTGTTCTGTGCCTGTTGAATCCAATCTCCAACTTCATACCCTATATCTGTGAAAACCTCTTTAATATTATACTCCTGTGTTTATATTTTATGTATGGGCATTAATTAAAGTCTGGAAGAAAGTAAATGACTCATTGAAGTTTTGTATCTAAGAAATATCTTTTTTTTTGTAGGTGAGGAATCAATTGACCTCTCTTTGCAACTTGAAACTTCAGTAACTGTTGGGGAACACGCCTTCAGCCAGATGCAGGGTGACTTGGACCAACAGAGGCTCCTCGGGGAGCGACCGCAGACTGATCCTATAAGTGAACTGATGATTAAGGAGATGCAGAACAAGGAAAGGTAGGCGCATGTTTCATGATTTATATTATGCAACTTGGCTGTCTGTTTTATTTGGGTAACATCTGATTTTCTGTACACACCTTCAGGGCTGACGCCATGTCCTGAATTGCCTTTCAGAGGCAAGTGAGACAGTGACTTACACACTCACTGAAACTCCTAAACCCTAGGCTTGTGCCCAAGTCAAATAATAATTTTACCGCACAGATTGTGTTTGCAGCATAATGTAGGGTGATCAAATGTAAATATAAGCCACAAAGTTTCTGACAGAAAATTCACTGCTTATCTTTCTGAGTTGTATTTTCCTTGTGTTTCTGTATTTTATTGCTGAATCTGATACGTTCAGTGTAAAATTAGGCATTGAGCTATTTTAAATATTTTTTTCGTAAAATCATTTGAAACTGAAAATAAAATATTCTTCAGAATGAAATGGCCTTAAGAGCTTAGAAGAGGATTAAAATCAAAAGTGATAAGGTTTGAACTACTTATGCTGTTTTTAATAAGCCTGTAATTAACTAACAGTGCTTGCACTAAATAAGTGTGGCTTGTATTTTGGAGGTGCCTGATATTAATCTAAACCTCAGGAACAAAGTTTATTATTTTCTCACTCATTCCAGCGTAATTCCATGATCGCTCATTTCTTAGCTTTCCCATTTCTCGTCACATTTGAGAAGGGACGTAAACAACACTCGGAAGACCGAGGCAAAGATTGGAGTTTCAGTATTAAAACGGATCTTATGGAAGTAGGGTGTGAATTTGATTCGTGTCTCAGATTAGGGACCATTGGCGGGTTCTTGTCAAACTTTGTGTGCCGCAAAAGGTAGGGAATTTCTTGCGTTGATTCTGCTCCATGGAGTGAGAGAGTTTTAAGAAGGAGAAAAGGGAAATAGAAATTATTTTACTTCTTGGAGCACTGCAGATAAATTTTGGTATAATGACATAATAATTTCCTTCTTTTTAATTCTTGTTGTTGAATGTTATATAGTCTGCTCAGGTGATAAAGAATTCTCTTTTAGCATAACCGGCTCCTCAGCCAACCTGTTTTTTATTGAATACAGATTGTCACTTCATTGCATTTATTACTTTAGAAGCATGTCTGATAATGCCGTCATTCCAGAGCACAGTTGAAACAAAATAGACATATACATTTGAAGAAATTAGTTACATTTTCAAAATGTTTACATTATGTTACGGAAGTGTGTAGGATTAAGGATGAATAAGTACATTGAATCTATGTCTGTGACTGAACACCATGGTTAAGTGATTTGCACTTGTGTTCATATTTGGGAAGTCCCGGGTTCAAGAATTAGCCTGAAGACTGACTATAATAACAGATTTTTTGTGGTTTTCCTCAGTCATTCAAGGCTAAGCTGGCCATGACTGCTTCCTTCCTTGTCCTTGCCAATTAATTTTTCACAAATCATCCTATAATTTAGCACTACGTAATCTGAATTAATTAAAGTGTTATTAACCTTTATTGTCTGCGTGACACCACATATATGCAATAAAATATTGATAATCTGATAACCCCAAAGTTAAAGTCTGGCTGACAGCTTCATAATAAGGGGGTTTAAATCTCTTATCCCCATGCAGTAAAGGTTGAATAAAACCAAACTTATATTAAGTTAGATGATCATGTCATAAAATATATCGCGTGTTTCATATTAGGCAGTTTTCTGGAGGTGCTATCCCTGTATAATACCTGCTGGATAGAATATTTTAAGACATTTTTATAGCCAGTGGAGACAGAAAAGAATAACAATTTTGTATGGAACTTTTGTTATGAAATTGTTACAAAATGACAAGCCATGAGTTGCTTCACTGTATATTGTACCTGCATTGCCAAAGTAACAAAAGAAAATATTGATGTTGGTCACACACAGACACATTAGTCATCTGATATTATAGAGTAAAGGCATAGATTTTTGAAGGATGTTATATTGCTTTAGTTTTGTGAATAGTGCGTGGTATGATACCTGCTGGAGCTTTAATTTGCTGAGGCAGCCCTGTCGGAGTGGTATTATTTTAGTTTAATAAAATTTACAATAATATATTTATTTATTTCCGTCAGTACACAAACTTAATTGTTAAAATTGGTGTTATTAAAGCTAAAACTTTAAAATTTTAAAATTTGGCGCTTATCATCGCTATTACGATGTTACAATTTAAGCGCTCATTAAACTACAAATATAATAACAGTCAAAAAACTTGCGTATACCAATTTTTAAATTTAAAACGAAAAATATTGAGTGAAATAAAATAATGAGCGCTAAAATTGTAACATCGTAATAGCGATGAAAAGCGCCAAATTTTAAAATTTTAAAGTTTTAGCTTTAATAACACCAATTTTAACAACTAAGTTTGTGTATAGACGGAAATAAATAAATATATTACTGAATTAAACACAAACATGACGCATTTAAACTACAAATATTTTAGATTAGTATTTACAAGATGAGGCGATTGGATTTTGCTGGCCCAGGACACGGACCAGTTGAGAGCTTTGGTTAATTTGGTCATGAACCTTCAGGTTTTCTAAGCCATCTAGTTAGTTATTTATTTATAACAGATAATGCTCAGATATTACACAAATATAACCATGCTCTGAAACTTGAACAAGTACATGTAGATCTTGATAGATGACAGCACTGTGTATTCCCTTAAGTAGTTACAGCAACAAATGCCACTCAGCTAATATTGCACAAATAGAACCATGCTCTGAAACTACAACAAGTACGTGTAGCTCCTGATAGATGGCAGTGCTGTACATTTAATGAAGTATTCCTTACAACAGATGTCACTATCAGGATGTGAATTGCATTTTGGAATTAATTACAATGTCTACTTGAAAGATGGCTTGATATGTATTCATGTTGTGAATGCTCATGTCTTAGACTGTAAATTACATCTAGAATTTTAGTACCCAGAGTGTAATGTTTATGCGTCATCCCTGGTGAAAATTATTTTTAGTTACTAATAAGACAGTCTTGTATTCATAGAAATGCTTTTGCAGTGGGATGAATTCCAGGTTTGGAATACACTTTGCACCCAGCCTGTTTTGTTGAATTGTTATTTAACTGCAAAACATTGATTTCCTATGATGTTGGAATCATTTATAATATATAGGGTACCTATAAATTATTAAAAGTCTTATAACCTCTTATTAAGCTCACTTATTGGAAAATAATTGCCATCCAACATTCAAGCTTTTGTTCGTAGGCAATTCAATGTTTGCTGGGAAAACGGTTGTTTTAATTTATCATATTAAGAAGGATCTGAAGAGCAAGAATTTCAAAATTTTATCAAATATTATTGAGAAATATACTGGGCATACTGGATACTGGGAACGACCCGTTCTTGAAGTGCCTGAGCACTGCGGGTCCCAACTTTTCGTTGGCTCTGATCTGTAGACATTCGGTAGGAATCCTTGGATGAGAGATCGGCCCGTTGCAGGGCCTCTGCCTGTACACAGGACAGCACAACACACAAAAACGCGGACAAACATCCATGGCTTGAGTGGGATTCGAACCCACAGTCCTAGTGACCAAGCGGCACAAGGCCAACGTCTCGGACTGCGCGGCCATTGTAATTGTATATTTTTTAATGGATTATGCCTTTGATTCGTAAAATTTATTATTGATGCCAAAATCCTTTAGATGTGTTAAAATGTTTCCGCAGAATTAAATATGATGCTGCTTTAATATTTGTTGCAAGATTCATGTTTGTAATGGGTTTTATCGTTGGTTCGTCAACTAAGAAAATGAATTCCAAACAGTTGTTATCCACATCATGAGCCGGGATAGCTCAGTCAGTATAGTGACTAGCTAC